AGTCGGTTTATGACTTGAGTGTACTTTTCTGCAACTTTGTCAAAAGTCTCAGATGCAGAAGCATTGTCTTTCAGCACCATCTGCACAGAGGGAAAGTGCAGCACCTTTTTTCTCTGTAAATGCACAGAGAAAATGTTCATCTGGGCTTTAAATCCATTTAAAGCACTTATCATGTCAGCAACAGTCTTACCTTTGCCTTACCATCCGGATAAAGACCATCAGCTGTGCTGCTGCTGTCGACGGACTCGTCACACTGGATGCTAAACCACCTGCACTTTGCCAGATCCTGATCCAACTGATCGGCCAAGTTCCCGGACATAGCCGACACTCTTCTAACAATTGTAGTTGCCCCCAGCTGGACATCAGAGAGAGTGGAGATTACATCGTTTCCATATTTCTCCTCTTTCAGCACAGTTTTTGCAATTATCATGATTGCTTCTTTGAAATACTCCCCGTCTAAAAATGCCTTCTTTTTCTTAATCATGAAATGTGTAGCTCTAAATGAGGCTTCGGTTGCTTTTTGAGAGTTTTTCACCGGTCTCGTGAAAAAAGACTGCTGTTTGCTCAAACCTGCCTTTAATTCGCGGGCCTTTTCCGCTCGCAGTGTGCTGCCCTTTGGGTAGTTAGCATGGTAGCTTGTGTGACACGTTCGGAAATGTCTCTCCACGTTGTGCCGCTTTGCCGTTGCCACAGTTGCCCCGCAAATCAGACACACGCATGAATCTTTCACAGTGGTAAAAAAGAACTCTTCCTCCCATTCACTGTGAAAATTATATGTTTTCTTCCTTTTTTCCGCCATGTTTTCCTCATCTCCTCCCCTTTGCCTTTGCTGGTCTTCATGGCAACTGTTTCCGTGGAGACCAGCTAGCACTATAAATATTAGATCATGATCTAATATTTAATAATAAACATTTTTTTTATATATTATCTCTAACAAATTAACGCCAATGCAATTGTGATTAAAAAAAATAGCAAGAAAAAATAAAAATAGATGCAGCTTACTGGTAAGTTGTTATGGTGAGCTATTTTTAGAACAGGCCCGCGGGCGACTCATGTGGTCCTTGCGGGCGACCTGGTGCCCGCGGGCACCGTGTTGGTGACCCCTGTACTAGACCATGTTCATTTCAAGGCTTTAGTAAGATTTTCAGATCGAAAGTGAATTAATATAAAATATTGTATCAATGAAATTGCATTAATATTTAAAAATATAAAAGCCAATAATGCACATGGGCCAGTAAAACTGAGCCACTGACAGTTATTAGGTTGGACATTATTAATATTCATTAACATCTACACCATCATAAGGTCTTGTTTTCAGCAGCACAAAAACTTGCCTGTTATTAATGTCAGAAAGCCTATATTTAAGAAAATATAACATTATAATTAAAATTACAAATTTTGCCACGTGTATACAATAAAAGATTTTTTGGGAACAGATGTAGTATGCAGTAAAAATTTCAGTCATTGCAGTTTCTAAGATGGAAGCCAATGAAGAGCTCATTCCTCTTTTAAATATTTATTATGGCGCTTTAAAAAGACTAAAGGGGAGCACGGTGGCACAGTAGTTAGCACTGTTGCCTGAGTTTGATTCCATCACCTGGCTGGGGACTTTCTGCGTGGAGTTTGCATGAATGTGAGTGAGTGGTTGTCTGTCTCTATGTTTTAGACTGGCGACCTGTGCAGGGTCTCTTGCCTTATGGTAGCTGCGATAGGTTCCAGCCCCTCGGCGACCATGACAAGGATAAATGGAAGAGAATGGATGGATAGACGGAAAAAGGCAAAAGTGTTTCTTATCCAATTACTTGATTAATCTATGGAATAATTGATAGACTGCTCGATGACTAAAATAATTGACACCCCGATGTATGCATCAAAGGCAACTTTGCTGTCTTGCCCAAAGACACTGCGACATGTAGACTAGAAGACTCAGGTTTCATGAGTGGGTGCGAATGAGTGAATGAGCCAAGTTGTGTAAAGCTGAGTGCTCAAATAGAGTAGTAAAGCTCTCTAAAAAAACAGTCCATCTACCATAACTGACTTCAGGTTAAAGACCCCTGGATAAAAGCAAATAAAAGAACTCGTACAGCACGTCTCATTCACCCATCACATACATTCATACAGCATATTTATTCTCCACCTAAACCCCTTTTATAACATTCATGTACCCAGGCACACTTTGATGTATCCCAACTAACACTGGATCCACAGCAGTCTACTATGATACTATATCTGTGAAAGAAAGTTGAACTATATCCAGGTGGCATTGCTCCACCTCCTATATTAGCTCAGATTCCTTCTCCATTAGCTTAGAGCATGGTTAACATACCCCCACCCTCAACTTTGTCTGCCACCCAGCATACAATATACCCAACCCTAATGTCTGTCCCTGCCCTTCCCAAGTGGTGGGCTTACGGGGAAGCGGATTCATATCATTTCCTCAGGCTGTGCCCAAGCGAGCCAAGTGAATCCAGACCTCCCAGACCTTTTTCAGTGGGTATTTTCAATGCTACCAGGTACAGCTTGATACAGGGGATTCACATACTGTGAGCTGATGCTCTGCTAGGGTACTGCAAAAAGCACGTAGTGTACTGACCTGGGAACCACTGCTCTATCAGAGAGTTGACATGGTCTGTGATGAACGCCATAGCAGAGAAATCCCTGGTCTCTGACTGACAGATAATTTTTATGCCTCCACTCTTCTTCCTCTTCCAGTTAACATCCGATGACTCCACACTGCACAGACATAAACAAGTATCTGCATCAACTCAAAGGATATTCAAATAGCAGAGAAGACGAGGCGCTGGCTTTTCCATGTCTCACTGCTCAAAATCAGCATCAAAGCTGGAATATTCGTCCTTTGCACATTCTCCATTTTAGGCCAATGTTTATGAAAGTAGTGGCCCACATTTCAGAGTTTCTTTAAACAGAAAATGTTTACATCCCTTCAGCGTGTTGTCTTATTTTCCACTTGCTTTGATTATTAAAAGCACTCAGACGTACTGTGATACATATGAACACAATCTCAGCTATAAATAACAATAATAAAAAAACACTGAACATTGACAATAACACAGAAGCATGATAATAGAGATGACTGTAATATCAGTAATTGTTAGAGAAATTTGATAAAACATTTGTCTTTGAACTTCCGAGTTTACAAATGAATCATTTCAGAAACTACAGCAAAAGGTCGACGCCCTTAAAATTCCCACCATGTACGTCTAATCTTAATTATTTGTCTAATGAATATTTGAATGACCATATCTTCTGGCTCCAGCTCTTACCTGAGGTAACCTCCATCGAAAGTGACGAGAAGTCCTTCCTTCCAGTAGATAGTCTGGCTGCGTCGGACTCTAAAGGTGCTACAGCGGCTCCTCTGTTGTGATCCGGTAAAGCTGTAGATCACAGAATTCCTGCTGTGCCGGCTCCTGGTGCTTTTTATTTTGCTTTCAAATGACTGCATAGATGCAACATTTTAGGCCACGAAAGTGAAAAACTCACAATTAAAATTGGAGAATGAAGAGAAACTACCTGCATGTCCATTTCTTGGAGGCTTATAAGCATCCTGGCAATGAAACGCTCCCAAAATCCAGCAGGAACGAAGCTCATCTTGAAAAGGCGTTTGAGGGTGTTGTGGGTCTGCTGGCGGAAGCCATGAATGTCCAGGGCTGGCTTAGGGGGAAGTAGATGGGGCAGCAGATAGCTGTAAGAGGTCAAAAGGAAAACAAATGTTCCCGGTGTATGAGAATGTACTGAGACACACTGCACTCTCATAGAGGAGCAACTTGTCAATCACATCACAAGTTGCTTTATCTTCCTTTAACCTCCTGAGACCTGAACTCTTTCATGGCAGCTTTTCTAATTTCTCTGATTGCAACCTGATGAATGTAAAAACAAAGAATTATGTGATTTTTTTTAACCTGATTTTTGTTTTGAAGAAAAATGAGATCCACATAAGAGGACAATAGCTTTAAATTACGATACGACAGTGGTAGTATGACGTCCTCGTAAGTGGATATCAGGCCCTTGTAGAGCGAAATTTAGTGTTTTGGTCTAGGCAACCCAAAATCCGATGTCCACATTTGTGGACGCAGGTCCTGGGAGGATAATAATTTTAAGTTGTATATCATACAATCCTCCTGCTGCCCATTTGACAATGTTTCCTCAGAGCTGTTTAGGACCTGTAATGAGTAACTACTGCAAAGAGAGAGAGAAGAAATTACCTGTTGTTGGCCACAGGCAGGGCAATCTCAAACTTGGCCAGAAATTGGAAATACTGTTCCTCTGTCTGCTGTGTGAACCCTGTTCCTACCAAAAGCATCTGCACAACAGATACCACAATAGATATGACTTCAAAACACCAGTTTCAACACACAAAACAACAGAAAGGCAAGTCTCACCCTGAGGTCTTCAGTTTGGATCACTCCATTTCTTGCTATATATCGAGAGGATTTGAGGTGTACGATCCTCTCCAAGCATTCCGACAGCCACACGGGACATAGGAAGTAGAGAGTGCAAAGCCCATGGCTGGTGTCAGGAAAGTGGAGCAAGGTTCCAGTTTCTATCAAGAAACCGATCGCTGGTTGTCGGGAAGAAAGGAGAAAAAGAAAGAAACAATGAAGAAATAACACATCGATGTGGTGATGCTTCACAAATAAGCAGCATTTAGAGTGGAAACCTCTGCCTAGACTGCTATATAACGTTATACTACAGTGTATCTCTAACGAACTAGGCAGCTCATTAAATCTCCCTTTAAGACTTTCTTTAAAGACCTGTTGAGTCAACTTGAAAGGAGGCAGATGTGAAATGTAAAAATAAGATTAGAGGTCAAATGTCACATTATATTGGGATGCAAGCTTGAATGTGACATTTATAGTGAACCAGTATCATTAACACCCCCAAACCACATCCCCATAGACACTGTGTCTGCTCCCAGACCACCAACACACAGAAGTGAGCACAAGGGGCAGCAATCTTCCACTCCAGCTTATTAATCAGCCAAAGAGTTGAGCACACTTTAACAGTAAGGGTAAAAACATGAACATCTACATTAGTATGAACAGCTCTCACAGGTTACTCCAGCTGTTTGAAAGTATTAGACCCTTGGGGCTCCGTTTTCCAAACCACTAAATTGAACCCAACTAGTTACTAAGTGCACTGATCTAGAGGGGAGCTGCTGTTAACAGGTGTGGCTGTTCTATCTGCAGAGGCAGGGAAGACACCTGGAAGGTTTCCAGGTAGTTGGTACTGAGCTAATCCCCTCACCCATCGGCTCCATCTAAGCTCTGTATTGCCTACTGGTAAAGACTCACAATCCACCCACTTTAATCACATTCTAGATCTTGTTCTGACATTGAGATAGAAACTGAACATTTTAGTATGTTCATGGATGTTAAAATCACCTTAAAAGCATCTTAGCTGAGCACTAAATCAGATAAAAAGTCTGAGACATTCTAAGTAAGGCCCAGGCGGACGACTGATGAGAACAAATAAAACAGGCTTTTGAGCATCAGGCTTTAAAATAAATTAAAACTCTGTCTGGGTCTTCGTCCTCAAGTGTTGGGGATTTTCTCTGCATTGTTGTCTTTATGTAACCATATAAAGCACAGTGAGACAACTGCTGTTGTGATTTGGCACGATATAAATAAAACCAAATAGAACTGAGTTTCCTAAATGTTGCCAATGAAAGCAAAGGCAGTAGGATTAATGAAAGTTTGACCAAGGTAAAAAATATCAAATAAAATCTACGTATAATAAGAATCTCCATTTAGTCTTCCCTACATCCCAATATGTTCAAATATGTACAATATGTACAAACAATGGCAGTAAGAAACTGTTTCTGTGCATCTATGCATAGCATTATTCTCACTTTGACTTTCTGAATAATGTACAGTCCTTGAAAAGGTCAAATGTGACATTTCAAAGCTTTATACAGTACTTCTATATGTCGACAACATACACCACACTTAAGGATCATAGTTTCTAAGTTACAAGTTCCAAACAATCATATTTTTCTTAAACCAACAAAGCAGTGAAAATGAACTCAAGGACTGAGGAGCTAATTGATTCTGGAGGTTTGCTCTAAAAGCAAAGGCGTCCTCATAGACACTTGCTTAAATGCATAATCCTGTATGTGTATCATATTTGATACAAGTTTTTGAGACCTCTACATGATCACTGTCATTTTTCTGCTCCTTAAAACAAGAAATCAATTGTAAAAAATGCTGGCGGTAACAAATATGATACAAATTTAAACTCATATGTGCAAAAATATTTAATCTATTTTTTACATTTGTCAAAAGGTTCAATAAACAAATAAATAAAGTTGTTTCCAATGTTGTGGCAGCAAAGTGTCCATGTAAATAAACTGGATTATCTCTAGTTTTATGCACACAGAAAAATATATAAGGCTTTGTTTTGTACATTAAAACGGAGTACTTCTTTGGAATCTCTTTAAGTGGCAACTTAATGTTAGGAGACGTTACCAAAAACATTGATATGGTAATGTACACAGCTGTTATGTTCACTGTTGTTGGCTGACTTTATTCAATGGCTGTGAAGGAGACACCTTCCACCCACTCACTGACTGGTGACTCTGTATTGGCTCATCACATTACATGGGAAAATGTCCCAAATAAAGAATGTAAATGTATGAATTTTCATAAATGATTTCCACATTTCAAATGCTTGCTGTCATAATACCAGTCTGCAGGTCTTCGTAATCTCTGATGTCACTTCCTGGGTTTTGTTCAATGATGTCATTTAGCTGTGCATCAGTTAGGTACTGGACCTCTCCTTCGGAATGTCGCCTCTCCTTCTCGGCTATGACTATTTCCTGGAGTGCCAGGTAGCTTCTGGGAATCTGGAGGAGACAACAGTGGTACAAATTTACTTTGCTTTCAAGTAAAATAAGAACCCTATGCTATCACTTTAAAATTGTCATAAAAAGTTTATACAGAGGCCTGTGTTTATACAATACTGGCACCACCTGTGCTACCCCCTCAGTCTCCTAGTAGACACAACGATGGTATCAATTTGAAAATTCTAGGTGACTTCCTTCACCGGTTTTCGCACTCACAAGAACTTGCGCTTAAGGTTGAGGGATAATATGTTTATTATAAGTGAATAAATAATTAAAACTTCTGCATAGAGTTTGCTGACAAAACACATGGTTATAAAGATTACTATATCAGTCTCCCACTGCTAGGTCATTTAAAATAACTCTTAAAAACACTGTATACATTTATACAGAAAGCAAACACTATTTCTGAAGGGTCAAAGTGCAACACTGTCTCTGCATGTACATGATTATAATCGATCGTGGCTCAAGAGTTGGGAGTTCGTCTTGTAATCAGAAGGTTGCCGGTTCGAGCCCTGGCTTGGACAGTCTCGGTCGTTGTGTCCTTGGGCAAGACACTTCACCCGTTGCCTACTGGTGGTGGTCAGAGGGCCCGGTGGCGCCAGTGTCCGGCAGCCTCGCCTCTGTCAGTGCGCCCCAGGGTGGCTGTGGCTACAACGTAGCTGCCATCACCAGTGTGTGACTGTGTGGATGTGTAAAGCGCTATATAAATACAGGCCATTTAACATTAGCTTGCTTACCAGTCTGCCTAGCAGTTTGCCACCACAGGCTAAGCTGCTGTTATCTTTCATGGAGAGAACCACTTGGTAGATCAGCATCTTTAGACCATCAAATCCCTCCAGAGTTTTACAGGACACTTCACTGAAAACCAAGAAAAGCACGCAAACACACAAAAGAATAAATACTCCGAAAAGAGATGATCTGTAAGATGGTCTGTAATTTGCACGAAGTAAACAGAGCAAAAACAATATTGGCATGGAAGTCGAATGTTAATAAGCAATAGAAAAGTTAAATGTGTACTTACTGCAAGTGTTTGTAGGTGATATCAGGGTAACCAGCAGCTCGAGTCCCTGATGGGGATCGACACAGAGCCAAAACGTAAGCCCTCAGTGTCGCCAGTCTCTCCGTACGAAACTTGGTATCAATAAGATCCAGATGTGTTCCCACTACAATCACTGCAGAGTTAGGGGCCCGAGCCTGTAGCATACAGCACACAAGCAAAGACATAATAACTGACAGCATAAAAATGACAAAATAACCTGAAGATTTGATTTGTAAAACAGAGAATGAATACCGATGTGTCACAGGTGTATCTATTCTATTAGTTTAATATCAATAATCACTACTACTGGATTTTTTTCATGGTAGATGTCAGTTTATTATATAAGATCAATTCATGCACCAAGCCACATACATTTGTTAAAGATCTTGGGCTCTAACTAAACCTGGAATCAACACACCACACGCAGCTCTGCTGTTGCTGGGGTCACTAGTCTGACAGACTTACATTGACTGACACGTCTGTCTGGAGTAAAGTTTCTGTTCTTCTTTTTTATAGCTAAAACTCAAAAGACAAAGAACTTGGAAAACATTTCACTGTGGTCAAAAAAAACAAACAGAAAAAATCCAGGAAGCCTAATTAGAGACTATCCTTCAAAAGACAATTTCAGAAGTGATGGAAGCAACATTCTTTCCATTAACACGACTGCCATGTGGCTCGTTGATTTAGTCAAAGAACAAAATTCAGTTTCTCTAAACCGGAACACCTTCCACTCACTCTTACCACTAGGGATGGGTACCGGTGTCCGGTGCCATGATGGCACCG